AAAAAAAAAAAAAAAAAATCAATTTCATATTCACAGCTATTGCTTTATGTGATAAATTAAGCCAACAATTCTCAGAGTGTGGTCCAGAGATCCTTGGAACTCTCCAAGATCAAAACTATTATTTTCAAAATACAGTGATACCTTGTTTGATGAACTTACATTTTTACAGTTTGGGAGAAGGTGGCTGCATTTGTGTTGGTGTGGGAAGATGGCTGTGACTGTGTCTCTTACCCAATGCAGAGTTTGCTAATGGAAGCAAAGTTTTGCTGAATGCTTCTCTTTGCAAACCAAATTCTTTGTAAACAAAAGCATTCTTGAACCAAGGTATTATTATAATACTAAGATATTATTTGCTTTTTTCACTCTCATTTTATGACAACTGAGTAGTGCAATTTTCCATTATCCACATTTGGAAGACCTAATAACTCAATAGACCAGTATTTTCAAAATGACAGAGACATAATGTTTTAAAACTATGCATAGATAAACATTCCATTCAAAGTACAAGACAGACTACTAGACTTTAATGTAACCGAATCTGAAAAGTTGAATGATGAGATTCTTTATTAGTGCTGGTGAAGTTTTGTGGAATATTGCATTGGCACAGTCAAGCGTTGGTGTAATGTCAAAAAAGAATATCCATAATAATCTGAAATTACTTAAATTAAATATCTTTTTAAAATTTTGCACATTTCTCTGAGTGGCGATTTTCTTTATATGTTTCAAACAAAGCAATCTCAGTAGACAATGCAGAAGCAAATATGAGAATCTAGCTTTTATTAAGCTAGGCAAAGCATTTTTTCAAATGTAGAACATTTCCAGTCTTTTCATCTATTTATTTTGATATATAGTTTTTTAAAAAATAAAAATGCTCTTTGTGGTAATATATAATTGATTTGGTATTGCTATTTTCAAACAGATTAGCCAATAAGTATTTTAAATATTTATTTTCACTTTTAATGAGGTAATGATGGTAGGTGCAGCTCCAAACAAATAAAAGTTATTGGCAACATCAGTTATTTTTACGACTGTGACAGTGTCCTGTGACGAAGAGGCAGAGAATTGCTGGATTATCCCAGCGTTGCCATCCTCTCGGAGCCACAGCATGGTAGGGAGCGCCATCCCTGGATTCCTAGGAGGAGGAAGAATGCTATTAAAGAGTGAAAGTTTTCTCAAGACGAATTTCAACTTTTATTTGTCAGGAATGAGAAAGTGGGTGCTGGGGGATCGCTAAGGGACTTTTCCGGAGGTAACTAGCACTCAGCGCAGCTGTTCCATGGTGGGGATACCCTAGGAATATTCTTGTTTGTCACTGTCCACCAGGTCCTTTCTCTCAGGAAGCTCACAGAAGGCAACACACAGGTGCTCACCAGGTGACTTTCACAGTTGTGCTAAGCATGACTCTGAGGGTAACCAGAACATCTTGCCTTGATGGAGGAACTCTGTCTCTCAATTGGCTTCTTAGCAAACACAGGCCAGAATAGTTCTTATCAGCCCTGACACTTTGCAGATCTTCAAATACCAAGTGACTGAGTGCAGATTTAGTAAATTCTCTGCTTGTACTACTGTTTCCTGGGGACCTCCACAACTCCTATCCACATTCTCAGTGTTAATAGGGACACACTGAAAAGCCCCAGCATAGCAATTCCTTGGCTGCTAATATATACCATCATCATTGCTGTTACTCTTATTACTGCTACTTAATATTTATGAGCACGTACTATTTTCTGAATACTGCATTCCTCCCCCGATACACACACATCAGAGAAGCACAGCTGCCCGAATGGCTCCTTGGAGTTACAGTCTGGCTGGGGCACTGGGGTGGGGATCTGATGAAATAGGGAAGTGCTTGACTGTGATCTGGAGAACCCAAACAGATGTATTCACCTTTTCCTGTTCTGTTCTCTTTGATTTGAAAAAGAACAAAAGATGTGTCCAGCCTGAAGCAAGGATTTTCAGTCTGGAGATAACTGTTTGAAAGGCCTCGTAGCTTAAAGTCTGCTATGGGCTTAGTGTTTGTGTCCTGCTCAAGTTCAGGCATTGAAATCCTAACCCTGAGGTGGTAGTATTAGGAGGTGGCGCCTTTTGGAGCTAATGAAGTCTTGAGCCTGGAGCCCTTATAAATGGGATTAGTGACCTTCTAAAAGAGACCCCAGAGAGCTAGCTCACCCCCTCTGCCATGTGAAGGCACAGAGAAAGAGCCAAGAAAGGAGTCATCTTCAGATACCAAATCTGCTGGTCACTTGATCTTGCACTTCCAGTCTAGAACTGTGGGAAATAAATTTCTGTTGGTTGGAAACTACCCAGACTATGGTATTTTTTTAAAAAAAATAGCATCGTTAATTGACTAAGACAAAGGCCAATGTGAAGTATTCCTCTTTCTCTTTTACTTGGAGAAATTTAGAGAACCACTTGATGAATGCTTCTAGTCTCTCTGTTTCATTTCAAGAAGGGGGAAAGAAGGAAAGGAGAGGCTTGACCATTTGCCATGGTACATGCCCTACTGAAAAATCAGCCTTTTTGCTTCGGTCCCTATGGGACATGGGGCTGGCATTGTTTACTTGCTATTTGAAAGCTACACAAAGCTCTGTGTGACCCAAAGCTTTTCCCTGTAGACTTTCTGTGTTGCCTACCACTCTCACTATTAGCAAGACTCCCCAGGGACATTTGGAAGCTGTGTTTCCTTGTGCATGTGGTATAATATGAGATCAGAGATAGCCTGAAAGAGGACCTTTAAATTCTTTTTCTTTCCCTCTCTCTTTTCTCTTTTTTCCTCATTCCACCCTAAAATTTCTTTCTTTTTTCTGTCCTCTCTCTCCAACTCAGTCTCTTGCTCCACCATAGTGTCCCTCATCTCCCTTTTTATTCCAGCTCCTGAATAACTCAGACTTCTTCTTTTATTATTTTTGGCTTTTAGGAGGGGTTTCTCTTTATGTTCTTTTCTCCTTTGGACACGTTCTTACGCTCATGTGCACACTCGGTCCCCAGTCAGCATGCCACCCATCTCAATGGTAGTAGACAGTGCTCACTAGCTGTCCTGAGTCTTATGCCAAGTCCCTCACCACCTGGCACCTAAATGCTTCCCATCTTAGTTCTAAGAAGAAGACTGCTTATCTCTCCCATATCCCAGTTCCTAACTACTTTCCTGATCTCTAGGTTATTAGCAGGTAACAAATGGTTATTCCTCAGACCTGTGGCTTTAAACTATATCCTAAAGAGTCTAAGAGGTCTCTCCAAGTGCCTGTGAGGCCACTGTAGAGCCAAAAGAAGAGCCAGGATGAGTGGGCCCCAGCCCACAATGCAATTATACCAGCATAGCCCTCATTATGTTTTTGTCTAATATTACCTTCTTATAAGCACCCCTTTGAAATCTCTCATTCCTTTAAAAATATTTGCAGAGCACTTCATATGACTAAATTAACTTCTGAAAATGAGCAGTTCAAAGAGTCCAATCTGTTACCTTCTAAAACCTAGAGACCAGGATAGAGTCAGGGGCTAAACTTTACTTCCTCCTTAATTTTTGTACCCAGCATGTCACTCCTTGGATTGTCCATGCCTTGAGTGAGAAAATGATCAAATGAGGTTTTATACAGGTGAAGGGGCTAGGTGCTGAGATACATCCCTTCATTTTGATCTTCAAAAAAAGCCATTGTGAAATGATTTTGAAAAGGTTTGTGAAAGCTGAGCATGGTGGCACACACTTATCATCCTAGTACTCTGGGAGGCTGAGGCAGGATCGAAAGTTTGAGCACAGCCAGTGCAATTTAGTGACTTGGTAGGCATTCATGCAACCCCTCAGGTTAAGAAGTAGGACATCACTTGTTCTTCAAAGTCTGCTGGCCACTGTATGCATCTACCTACCACTACCCTCCCTGGTACTCCCAAATTAACCATTTTTCTAAGGCTTACAGGAATTAATTCCTGGCTTTTCACCTTAGAAGTCATCCCTAAACTTTACAGTGCAGCCTGGCCTATTTTTGAACTTTACATTAATGGGGTTATAAAATATGTCTCTTTTTTCTAAGCGTCATCATTTTCTTTTCTTCCTCACCACTTGTCAAAAAACACATTCTGTGTAAGTCTCAGGAAGAGTTGTGGTAACGTTTTTATTCTATAAGACAGAATAACAACGATTCTTAACAAATGTCCCTGGCTTTGAGGCAATTATAGTGGGTGGGAATGGAGCAAAGGAATTAGTGTTTCTGTGTCTCCAGAATTAGTGTTTATAGAAGAATGTTCATGGGAAGGACTTTCTATTTTAACTTCACAGATGCTTACAATTCCTGAGTAGCAGGTATATGTCAAACAGAAGTGTCTGCAGCTCCTTAATCTTTTTTTTTTTTTTAACTTCTAAAATCTCCTTAGTAGGGACACAAAGGGACATATATTATTCTAGGGTTGCCCAGAGAGACAGGGGCAACTGGGAATGCGAGCATCCCTCCTGACATGGGTCTGGCCTTCTGCCCCCTTGGCCCCCACTTCTTTCTGATGGTGAAGTTGAGAGATGGTGATGGATGGTTAGTCACAAATAGTTTTCAATTTGCCAAAGTGCACCCAGCTCTTTCTGAACCTCTTTGAAATGCTTTTAGAGCAACACGGAGAATGGAATTCAACAACAATTCTCCACAGCTGCAGTCAGAGTACAGCGACCCCCCCCAGAGCAGCTGGGGGCAGTTGTTTTTAAGTTTTGTGCTTGCTGTTCCCTTAAAACACCCTTGAGAAGGTTCTCGAAGGTCCTATCCCACCCATATTACCAGATATTACATCTGTGTCAGAACTTGAATTACATGCTTTTGTCCAAATTTTGACAAATTTTTGTCTCTACTTCTTGTCAGACACATGTTCTCTCAGGGAAGCACCCTTACTGTGTCTTTCACCCTCACCCCAAAAGGTCCATGTATGGGAGCACCTGTCCCGTGGCTGCTCTGTTTAGTAAAAGAAACCCTGATGGAGTAGCCAGGACCCATGGATTCTGGCCTTAGATAAGCTTTAATGTGATTGGTGACATTATCTCCACATCTCTCTTTTCTGGCCTTTGTTTCCACATCTCTTAAATAAGAACAGTGGATAGAAGACTTTAGAAAGCCTCTGCTACAGGGAGTTACCAATGATGTTTCAAGGTTTGGAGCTGGTCACAGTGGAAGACAGAGATGCTTCCTTTTTGGTAAATCTGTTTTTACCTAATGACAACTATCGAGGCAATATTGAGGTGAGCTTTGATAGGCATAGTTTTCACAGTTTGATCTGCTCCCTCAAGTATTTCTATTTTGTAAAAGGTGATACTTGTCAATAATATTTGTAACCTTTTCCTGTGAAATATTTTATAACCAATAGCGTATGTGGTTAATTTAGATGTTTTTATTTGAAATCCAGATATGTTGCTCAGAGTCCCTGTCCAGAGATAAACTGCAGATACCCATTCCTAGTGTTATAGTGGGGATCTATTGCCCTTTTGCCCCTTCTCTCTCTCTCTTTCTTTGAAGGCTTGGGTTATTGTTAAGAATGCAATGTAGATCAGCTTGATTTTCAGTCATCCTAATTCATTAGGCCTGTAGATCTTTTCCCAGTGTCCTGGAGTCCCCAGGATCACTTACTTCCATTTCTTTTCTGCTGAAGACTTTTATGAAGGGAGAGTTTCCTCTCTGAATCTAAGTCTGGTCCATAAAGCAGAGCTTCTCCCGCATATACAGCTACTAAAGAGTCCTTTGCCCAGAGACCTGGATTAAAAAGAATGAAGCAAAGGAGGAGTCGTACTTGTGTTAGCTGGTTGTAAATGAATCCTGAGACATGCCCAGCACTGTTGAGGCTAAAGACTTTCTCTCACCCCTGAGATCCACAGAATTAGTTTGCTTGAAATATAAACATTCAAGTTTTTGGAAGAATAAAAGGGAAGCTGTCATGTGTGTTGGAATATGATCTAGGTTGAACAGTGATTCTCAATCTTGAATCGCTTGGAGAGCTTTTAGAAAGCATTAATGCTAGATCAGAGCAAATGAATTAGAATCTCTGGGATGAAACCCATGCACAGGTCTTGTTATGGTTTAGATTTAGAAAGTCTCTCCAAAGTCTCACGTGTTCAGACGTGGTGTTCAGAGGAAGGTGATTGGATCGGAGGGGTGCTAAACTCATCAGCGATTAATCCACTGATAAAACCATAGCTGAATGTGCTGTTTGGAAGTGAGTTTGGTTAAAAAAAAAAAGGTGGCAGAGGCACGTCACTGGGAGCATGACTTGGGCATATCTCCCACCCCAGGTCCTCCCTTTTCTGTTTCCTGGACATCACGATGTGAGCAGCTTTCTTCTACCCAGGCCCTTCCACCATGCTGTTTCTGTCTTGGAGCCTACTGACTGTGGACTGAAACTGTGAGCCAAAATAAACCTTAAATTTTAGATGTAGGGTATTGTGTCTTAATAATGGGAAAGTGACTAAGATAATGCTGCTGAAAGCTCTTCCAGGTGTTTTTGAGTCAAGATTAAGGATGAGAACTCTTGGTCCAAGAAAAATGAGACATAGTTATCTAATGTGAGCAAATGGTAAGATATTGCAATTGTCCCTATTTTGATTTATATTTTTGAGGCCTCTTTTCGGTAGATAAGGAAACCAGGTGGGCCTGGTCTGCATCATTACTGAGAGTGCCAGGTTACCTTAAACCCACAAGTCAAATAATTGTTTAATAAAAGACCAGAAAAGATGCCAAAGTCTTAGGTCAGCAGCAGTGTTAGAAAGTTCTGGTTTCTAAGAATTATCCTGCTGATTTCTCTTGGGAAGGTGTTGAGGTGGAAATGACCACAGGAATTAGAATAGGGATTCACTAAGGCTGAAGAGGCTGCATACAGGGGCCAAATCCAAGCAACTTTAGTGTTTTGTTTGATGAATTCTTAAAGGAAGAACATATCCTAGCTGTGCAGGAAGGTAACTCCTACAGGTCCATCTCGTACAGTTAGTGTTGGCCCAGGTATTGCACAGGTAAGTGTGCCTGATTCTCCATTTGAGGAATTCCATGATAAATATAAAAAGTATATGTGATATTTATACTTTATAAATATCAGGTTTATACAGAGAAAATGACTCATGTATGTTGGTAGTTGATAATCTCTTGCCAGTTTTCATATTCTTGGTGACATTCAAGGCTTACAACCCCTGAAGAGGGGTCAGGAAACAGTGGGAGACAGCATGGAAAATTTCATCAATTGGTAATCTAGTGGCCCTTTTTATGTGACCTCAGTAGGAAGGCCAAATATTGTGGCTTCCATTTTGGGCATAAGAGAAGAGTTTTGAGGGTGACCCTCTCAGATTAGATTAAGGTCTTTTGAGATCTCAAGCATGAAAAGATCTTAATATTGCCTTTCTCAAGTAATTCAGTATAAAAATAATACTAAGCAAAGCTATACTATAAAGAGCAGAGTTATCTGATTACTTTGGTGGTTTTCCCCTGTTTTTCATTTTTTAAATGCCAATTCTCTAAAAAAATAAAAAAAATATTTTCTTGGAGACTTTGGCATTGCTTGTGATTTTAAGCATCTGCCCAAAGGCCAGTTGGGCTCTGGGAGCCACTGGCATCTATTCATGGATCTGTTCTATCAATTAAACTAGCATAAGGTCATCTTTTCTCTGATAGTATCCCAGCCCTGGACAGGGAATGAGTTTTATTGGCTCTAAAGTCCGTCTCCTTCCATTTTCTTAATGATGGGGAAGGAGAGCAAATGGGCAGCCATTGCTTTCCTATCCTCCCCTCCTTAACTTGGGGTATTAGTGTGATCTCCCAAAAAGAGTAGTGGCTTGGAGAGAGCAGACCTGGATTTCAATCCCAGCTCTGTCCCTTCTGTTTGGGAGCACTCTTCAACTCTCTTCATTGGTTGAAAGTTGTTACTGCAGACCTCATGAAACGAGAGTAAGCTGCCTGGTCCTTTGGGCTGCTGTTAACATTCTTGGTGCCGGTGGAGTGCCTGGTATGTAGTGAAGGTTCAATAATTATCAAGCACATCTCCTCTCTATTCTCACCTTAGATTTTAGAATCTTAATTCTCATTGAGAAGGTAGATAATAAGGTGTAAAGTTCTTGATCACTTCTTAATGAGTTAGTACAGTGGGTGGAAGCTTGCATCTCCAAGGGAGCTGGAGTGTCCAAGGGAATGATCATAGTGGGTGATTCTTCTGCAAATTTTGTTGGAGGTCAGGAATTTGAACTTTTGGCACTGAACCCGAGATTGTGCTACAAAGCATATTATATCTATGGTAGGAGAAATTCAAATAACTATTTACCAGTTGATTTACTCTAGACTCTTGAACAGTAATGCTGAATAGGAGTTGTCTAGCAAAAGCCATGATAAAAGTATGGCCTGAGGTGGTAAAAAATATACACTGTTGACATGTATTTTATTTTTATCAGGTTAAGAGAGTGAGAGGTGATTTTTGGATCCTGTCTTCTTTCTCTCAACTTCACCCTCACTGAGGGGTGGGGAGAGCAGTAAACAGGGATGGAAAGGGGGTGATTGGGAAGGGAGGATCTGGAAAGGAACTCTGTTGGAACTCAGCTGCTATGCTGCTACATTTGATTTTGTGGACTGGAGTCTTTGGGGTGACATGCTCTGAGGAATGAGGAGAAAGAACTCGAACACCTCAAGCACAGCGGCAGTGCTGGCTCTCCACCAAAGCTTTTCAGAACAGTCTTGAAGTCTTCAATATGGGCCATGTCACAGCTTCTCTTGTTTTCTTTCCCTGGAATCCTGCAAAAGTGCTATTTTTTCAAGGATGTTGCGGAGCTCCAGGTTTCAGGGCACATTTCGAGGTCAAGAACTGGTAGTACTTCAGACAAAAAGAGAAGGGTGATTTGGTGTTGGTGTTTAAGAATTTGACGTTTACTTAGCAGTTAGGATGATTCAGCTGTTCTCTCTGTTCCCAACAGGCTCTCACATAGCTCAGGGCACTGTGTGTTGGTTTCCTTAGAAAGTGCTGACAGCTTCTGGTCAGGCCTTATTGTTTTTGTTGGCTGGACTTTTGGCTTGTCTGTTACTTTATCTGTGACCTGTGGGTGAGTGACCAGCCACTGAAAGCATGTGATACTGAAAGGAGATAACCCAGGAAATATGGATTCAAAAGTCAGTGCCTTAGTATTAAGGAAGACTAAGTTGCAGGGAAAAGAAATTCAAGATATCAGATAAAAGAAATGAGATACACGTAGGTGCCATTCTGCGGAGATATTAGTTATCACCCAAACTGTGGGGGGAATTGAGATACTTCTTATGGTAAACACATAAGAATTCACAGACTTCTCTTCACAGAACACTGGGTTACTGGTAGAGGATGACATATTTTCAAGGTGTATATGTCTCACAAATTTTGCTACTCCTAAAATGGCCAATTTTGTTGCTTGAATAAAATCACTGATGTGTGCTGAGATGTCTGTACTTCACAAGATGAGTAGAACATTGTCCAAGTGACTGGCTTCAGCATTTCAAAATGAGCTTGAACTCAAAGTCCTTCTCAACATTACTGACCTTGATCTTCTGGTTTTCATAAAAAATTATAAGGTTGCAGTGAGCATTTCTGAGCCTCCTGTATTTCATATAGTTTTTTCTTAGCCATGTGCTAGCAATTTTGTTTGTAGTTGGTTCTTAAATAGAACTGGAAGTTGTGCCCAGTCCATCAAGTATTGATAAATTAGCCAATGTCTCTCTTGCTTCCTTGCCCCCTTTTATTCTCTTAAAACTCCAGAATCAGGACCTTTGAAAATGCCCCCATCTGGTTTCTAAAGTCTCTGAAATGATCCACATTCTTTGTTGTTTCCATTTGCCAGACTGCACAGGAGCAAACTCCCCCTTTTTTTTTCTTTGGAAAATGTTACAACATAAGTGTCTGGTTCTTCTGAACACTCTCAGTTCTTCTGAACACTCTCATTCCCACCACAGAATAATTATTAGCTTGTGGAGTCTGCTCTTTCTTTCACTTTAGTTTAAAATACTGGGATCCCCACCTGCATAAATGAAGTCAGGAAAGACACAAATGATGCTAAGATGTTTCTATTGTCTTCTTTCCTGGGTGAATTCTCCTCAAAGATACCAGTGCTCAATTATTGGCTACCACTCCATGGCATTTAATTATTCTTGATGTTTAATCCATCATAGTGTAAAAGAAAAGAAGAAAAACAAAAACAAACAAACAAAAAAAATCCACAAAGAAACACAGCCTGTCTCCTCCTCCTCTTCTGAGAGAAACAATATAACAATTAAGATGGTAACTACAGTTGTAAGAATAGTGAGAAACCACATAAAGACTAGCATCATATTACTCTTTGAACATTAGCAGGAAACAAGTTCTGAGGCTATCTCCTACTTCATTTTTTCCTCTGTTCCAAGACTCATGAGTCACCAGACTGTATAAATGAATAATAGTTTAATTTAAATAAGCCTCTATTGTTTGGGGGGTCATTTATCACCTCACCTTGCAGCTCTCAATCACAGATGAGTCATGTGGAACCACACGACATTCTTCATGTCACTGGAGCTGGAAATCTCAAATTGTGTGTTTGAATTTGGTGACCACAGTCAATATTGTTCCAAGATAGTAAGTAGGTGGGGATAGGGATTGGCTGGAGCGAAGTGGGGAAATGGAGAACTGCTGTAGGGGTTTTGAACTTTTGCACTCAGATTTCAACGTGTAAAAAAGCTGACTTTGGGTTGGAATGATAGACTGTTGACAATGATGTATGTGATAGAGAGAAAACAGGGAGAGAAGTGGGGTGGGAGAAAGAGAAGGAAATGATTTGAAAGCATAACTTTCCAATAAGAACAATCCAAAGGAAAGGGAAAAGGGGCATTTTTAAAAGGCTCACTATGGAAATTGGATTCATACTGGTAGGATTAACAGTTGAAGGCAAATGGAACTCAGGCAAAGCTTCTCAGCCAGCACGTTCACATGATAAATTGCATTAAAGCACTGAAAGAAACAACAGCTGCAGTTAATGAAAAGCCAAATTTATCTAAATTTCTTCAGTTGATCAGTCAAAATCATCAGTATGGGTTTTACTCTGTAGTGATTTTTTTTGGAGTGGGGAGGGGAAGACAAAAAGAGAAGAGATATTTTTATTTCTAAAAGTATGCTTTTGGAAAGGGTAGTAACCCTAGAGCTAACCTGTGAGTACTCATAGAGGATGTTTTCTTAACAGCAAGGTCCTCAATACTCTACATTTGTTCTTTTTAACATGGTTGGTTCCTTTATGCAGTGAACATACAGACACGGGATGAAGACAAAAAATCCAGGAGGACTGTGATCCTTACTCAAAGCTGAAATGCTTTCCAAAATATAGTTCTGGCCAGAGCTGTTCTGTTATCACAACACCCAAAACACAGACAACTGGTTTTGCCTGTGGCTATTTTACATAGGAGGAGACCGAGAGGTGGGGTGTGGGGAGCAGGAATTTGTCCAAGGTTGGCTCCTAAGCTCTTCTAAAAGCTGGGGACAGGGAAAGTTTTCTGCATTCCTTGCCAAATGCTTTACAAGAAAAGAGAACAAATTTCCCTGTACCTCACATCCCTACCTGGTGAAAGCAGGAAAATCCCGCGGCAGAAACCACTCAAGAGAAGCTGCCATCAAAGGCTGCTTGAAGCTACTTTCCTCCAGCGCAGAGCTCTGCGCAGAGCCCGCGTGCGGTGAGGAATTCCATTAGAACTCACGCGCCATATGTTTGTTCGCTGGTGTTCAATGGAACCTGAGGGAGGCCGTAATGGATCTCCGTCATGGAGCCTTGTGGAAGGCTTCCAGAGATTTAATAGTCTACCTCGCGGCGATGAATAGAGGGGCTCTCATACTCCTTGCATATTCAGGGGGCCTTGGTTCCCTCAATGTGCGCCCTCTCCTTCCATACTCTTCTGGAAACGTCTGTACATCTGGCACTCCTGGAGTCATTTCAAAAATGGGGAGAGAGAAGGGCGGAGGGGAGGGGAAGGGGGAGAAGGAGAGGGAGAGGGAGAGAGAGAGGCGGGGGTGAGTGGGGTAGGCGCATTCCTCTGATCCTGCCTCCTAGAAGATCTGTAGGACGAGATGCGAGCTGCAGACTTTAGTAGGAGGTAGGCTGCAAGAGTGAAGAGGGTGGATGTCTGATGACTTGGATTTCCTTCCTTTCAGCGTTGTGGTCTGATAGTTTCACCACTGCCATGGCTCTGACGGGCATCACTGGGCCTGGAACTCACTGTACTCTGGCTGTGTGTGTAGCCTGCCCCCGAAAGGCCAGTGGCCGCTGGTACCTCTGGACCAGGAAGCTGCCAAGCGGCCCTGAAGTTTTATTTCTTTTAGTTTATTTTCTCACTGATGTGCTTTAGTTTATATGGTGTGGAAGAAGCCTGCGAGGCAGGTAGTCATTGCTGGGGACCACAGAAATAGAACAACAAGTGGAACTTTTTTGCTATCTCTGCACAGGACCAAAGCACATGGAAAGGAGGCGCTCAAGGAGAGCGAACCCACTGACGATTTCCCCTTCTAATCCCTTTTGAGATTTTCACTGTCATTTGCTGTACTAAAAATTCAAGAGGATGTGAGGATGTGTCTGGATGGGATGTGGTCTTTTGAAAATAAAAACTCAAATTCTGCTATTCTGGACCCCTCTCGTTTTCTATCTGTAAAGTGGGAATTAATATATTTACTTCCAGATTGTTGGGATAATTTAATAGGAGAGAATGAAATGAAAGGCCTCAAAGCACAGTATCACCCTGCAATCCCCAATCTTCTTCGTCTTCGTCTTCCTCTTCCTTTTCTTCTCCTCCTCCTTCTGTTATTATTAGTATTATTATTAGTAGTAGTACTACCAGGAATTGAACTCAGGACCTTGAAACTTGCAAGGCAGGCATGATGCCACTGAGCTAAAATTCCTGGACCTGAATTGAATATTTGCAGTTTGGCTGTTGGCCTTAGTTTCCTCAATACTTCCTTAAATTGTGAAAAAATCAATTCTGATTTACACACAGTTCCACTCACCATTTTAAGTATACAGCTCAGTTTTGACAAAGATATGCAGCCACTGTATCATTGTACTCAAGATGTAGAAAATTCCTGTCACTCCAAAATTGACTTCATGTCACTTTATCTTTAACCATCTCCTCCTACTTCCAGTTCACACAAATTTCCGATGGGCTTTCTTATTATATCTTTTTAGTTTTGCCTTTTCTTATATTTCAGGTATTTAGAAACCTGCAGTTATTGAGTTGTTTCTACCTTCTTTCACTTTGCAAAGTACCTTTAAGATTAATTCATGTTATTATATGTAATATTATTTTCCCCTTTATATTGCTGAATAGTATTCCAATGTGTGGGTATACCATAATATACTTATTTATTCACTAGTTGATAGGCATTTGGATTATTGACTATTATGAATAAAAGGAATATTTGCATACAAAAATGCTGTTTTCCATTCTCTTGCATTCATAACCTCTGAGTGGAATTTCTGCGTGGAGTGGTATGTGCCAGAGTCTTTTCCAAATGTCTGTATTATTTTGTATTTCCACCAGTGCATGACAGTGCCAGTTTCTTCACATTCTTATCAACAGTAGGTATTGTCAATCTTTTTAATTCTAGGGGGAATACAGTGGTATTCTTTGGGGTATTTTATTACATTTCACAAATGACTGATGACATCATTAAGCATCTTTTTATGTGTTCATTTTCAGATTTATACATCTGTTACATGTATTTTATTTGTTCTAATCATTTAGTTATTAAAATGAAGTTGTAGTTTTATTGAATTGTGTTTTTAAATATGGTCTAGACTACAGACAAGGTTTTCATCAGATATATATTTTGCAAATATTTTTTCCCATTTGTGGCTTTTCATTTCTAAATAGTCTATTTTGAAGATCAAAAGACTTTAATTTGATGAAGTCCAATTTATCATGTTTTCCTTTTTATGCTTTGCATTTTATGTGTCCCGTTTTAAAAAAACTTGTGTAATTCAAAGTCACAGTACTTTGTCTTATTGTGTTTGAGGACATTTTATAAGTTTAGCTCTTGTGTTTAGATCTATGAATTTTTTTCAGTTAATTTTGTGCATTGCGAAAGCAAGTGTCTGGTTTTGCTATTTTTCTAAATGAATACCCAATTGTTTCAGTACCATTTGTTGAAAAAAGTATATTTTCCTCATTGAATAAACTTGACATCTCTGAATAGCCCCATTTTTGGACTCTTTGTTCTATTGATCTATCCTTACATAATCACCATATTGATTTAATTATCACAACTTTACAGTAAGTCTTGAACTAGATACTGAAAACTGACTTTGTTCTTTTTCAAATTTATTTTAGCAATTCCAGGTAATTTGCGCTTCCTTGTACATTTTGGGATCAGCTCAAATTTCCTAGAAAAAGACTGCTTGGATCTTGATTAGTATTTTATTAGATCTTTAGATCATTATGGGAAAGATAATATAATAACAGTGTTGAGGGTTTTTTCATTATGAAGATGTATTGTCTGTTTAGATATTCTTTCAGCAATACTTTGTAATTTTCAGCATGAGGGGATTACACATTATGGACAAAATTCTAGGTACTGTATTTGTGTTTTTGGATACTATTGTAATATATTTAAATTATAGTCTCATTTGTTTGTTGTTAGTATGCATAAATGCAGTTGCTTTGCATACATTAATCCTGTGTCTTGTGTCCTTACTTTTTACAAACTTTTTAGTTTTGTGGCTGTTTGTATATTTCATAAGATTTTCTGCATAGATGGTTGGACGATCTGTAAATAAAAAAATTTACAGCTTCATCTTCATTCTGTGTAACTCCTTATTTCTTGTTATTCTCCTATTTTAACTGGTTAAATACTGAATATAATGCAGAGTAGTAGAAGAGCAGAGATGCTCTGCTCCTTGTTTCTTATTTGGGGGAAAACAATCAGCATTGTTTCCACATAAAACTATACAATACCATGTTCTTATTATTCAAACATTTTACTATATTATAAAGAAATTGAAAGTCAAGCTGGGCCTAGTGTAAGTGTAGGCCTGTAATCCCAGCACTTTAGAGGCTGAGGCAGAAAGATGAACTCTATAAGAAAGTCCCGTCTCAAGCCTCCTCAACACCTCTAAAAAACCCATAACAATTAGGTGAAAATCTTTTGTAGTTTTACTATTCCCATTCCTCTTCATCCTTTTGTATAGATCTAAATTTCCCTATCATTAATTTACTCATTTAAAATTATAGTAAAAATAGTTTATTTTCTCTATAGAAATCTTTCATTCATTTGTTCAATTTATTCTTAGATAATGCTTTGTGTTACTTTTAAAACTTATTTTTTTGGTAATTATTGCTGATAATATAAGCATGCAATACCATAATAATATAACAATACAAATTTTATATTAAACTTGTATCAAATATTCTTGGTGTCCTCCCTTCTAATTATATATCTGAACAAAATTTCTTCCTCCCATGTTTATGCTTTTTATTTCTAAAGCCAGAAGTATATTGTGAGATAAAATTGGTGATAGTGAATACTTTTGTCTTATTTGTAATTTCAAAGAAAATACTTTCAACATTTTACTCTGCAATATATCATTTAACAGATTGTATATATTTATATATTTTATATACATATATTTATATTTTAAATTATTTTTAAAAATTGGTTGAGAATGCTCCTCTTCTATTTTATTATAAATGATTAAATTTTTTTAAACTTTATTAAATGCATTTTATGTATTTCTTGTGATAATCAAATGACTTCTCTTTTAATCTCTTAATGTTGTGAATTATGTTAACTAATTTTTCTGATAAACCAAATTTTTATTTTAGGATTATTTCCAACTTAACCATAATGCAGTATTTTAAAAATATATTGCTTTATTTTGTTTTGCATTATTTACTTTTGTGATTCCTGTAGCATTCTTTCTTTCAATGCTACTTGCAGATTTAGGTATAAAAGTTATGCTAGAGATTTGTCCCTTGCTCAGGATATTGGAAAAAACATAGAACATGTAAAAGGGTGAAGGGGAATCCAATGCACCTCCAAAAGACAAAGCAGTCATCCAATTCAAAATCAAACAATATAAATGTTGGTTTTAAATGACAAGAACTTTAAACAAAGTATAAATATTTTAAAGTATTTAATAGAAAAGATAGATAACATGCAAGATCAGATGGATAATTTCAGCAGTTATGAAGACTACAAAAAATCAAATGGAAATACTAGAAATAGAACTACAGTAACAAAGGTAAAGGTGCTTTTTCAGCTCATCAGTATATATGACGCAGGTGAGGAAAGAGTCAACGAATTTCCAGATGAAGAAAGAATCCATGAATTTAAAGCTGAGTCTGTAGAAATCAACCATACTAAATTGGAAAGGGAAAAATAGAGTGAAAACAAAACAAACAAATAAAAAAGCAAACAGAACAGACAATACAAGAGTTCTGTGATATCAATCATTCTAACATACGAATGGTGTTTGGAAGCCTTAGCATCGGAATGTTAGAGGTGGGGAGGAAGGGAAGGAAGAGGGGAAGAGAGAAGAGGGGAGGGGAGGTGTGGGAAGAAAGAATAATGTTTGAAGAAACTAAGGATTATCCTAGCGTTGTAGATTCAATTAGGGAGTATTATGAACTACATAGTGTTCCACAAGATCCATGTGTTGAATCCCTAACCCTCAGAACCTCAGAACATCACTGTATTTGGAGA